AGACATTTTTAAATCAGTCAATTCTTTTTTTTTATTGATGTTTGATTATCTTTGTCTCCTGAAGGTCTAAGCCTAGGGTGTCCAATCTTGGCAATTTTAAGTTTAGATCAGGGTTGTCCAACCTTGGCAACTTTAAGACCTGTGGCCTTCAACTCCCAGAATTCACCAACCAGCTATGTCGATTGGAGAATTCTGACAGTTGAAGTCCACAGGTCTTAAAATTGCCAAGTTTGGACACTCCTGATGTAAGCTTTTCGGGCTGTAACTGGGTGCAGGAGCTCTTCCAGTAATGAGCACTTTATAAGTTCTCTTGTGATTGCTTGGCATTAACAAATGTTTAGAATGAGAGTCGGAAATTATAATGGTTAACTATTTTTTTGTATTTTCAGAGAGCCCTTGCCAAGACTGGAGCAAAATCTATCAGTTTGCTTGAGTTATGTCGGAATACAAACCGCAAACAAGCAGCAGCAAAATTCTACAGTTTTTTGGTACTGAAAAAGCAACAAGCTATCGAGTTGACACAAGAAGAACCATATAGTGATATCATTGCAACTCCTGGTCCCAGATTCCATATTATTTGAATAGTTGGCTTATTGTATAGTTAGCATTGTTAGTGCTCACACATTGTCCCATATGCAGGGCCCATAAGGGAAGAAATTTAGGTTTCATTGTCAATGTACAGTAATCACTTTTTTGTGTCTAGGGAGGGGTTTCTATTATCTTTTACCACTTTTGCATTTCTAGTAACCTTTCTGTACTGGGTGACTTGAATTCCAGTTGCAGAGATGAGACAGTACTCAAGGATCTTCATGAAGAGTGTTTTTATTTTTAAAAAACACACTGATTCAAAGCAGATTTGTGCAATAATGGTGCATCTAACTATGACTAATGATTCTTTTTCAGTATCTTAATAAACCAGGATATTATTTTAATCAACTCCAAAAGACCCAATAATGGCCAACTTTTTATTTCATGACTGATTTGCCAAATAGACCTAACATTCTGAGCTTTCTTCCTTGTATGAGTGATCTTGCCTGCCCCCTGTTTGCATCGGTGTTGGCCATCTTCCTGCTTACCAGTGGTGCTTTTTGGAGCTGCCATGGTGAATGTCAGTGCCTAGCAGGCAGGTGTCCTTGCTGTGCCAATGTTTTCTATAGAATAAGGATTGAAGCAGCTCTAGGACTTAAATGCAAATGGGTACCCATAGGGAAAAGTGGGTTTTTTTTTTTTAAAAAAAAATGGGGCTTGCTTCATGTGTAAAACATTTCTGGTAGTATATGTTACATTCCTTTTCAGAGTGGTCCACCTCTGGCATCAGGTAGCTATGAGGGCGGCAGGCTTGTTGGATTAAGCTTTTTCCTCATTTGAGATTAAACCTCTTCAAGCATTTACCTTTCTTAGGGGATTGTATGTACATTAAATGCCATACCTTTAGATTATAAGTAATTTGGTTTTTGGAAACTGATAACTAGGTGGGTCTCATAGTTGGAGCAAGATAAATTTGTATAAATTGACTAATAATTATGTGGGACAGCATTGGCCCTAAAAGGACAGCAGGCTTCAGATGTATATTTTAGAAGCAGGTAAACTTGCATTTATTAAAAAGTAATCTTGTGTAATAAGTATTAATAGACCTGGCTACCTTTACAGCTTTTGTAATGGGGTATTTTCCAATAATGGACACTGAATAGCTTTTCAAACAACCCCCAGTTTGGTTTTTTACTATTTTTTTTAAATAAAGACTTTATTATTATTACTAGAATCAGGCCAAACCAGAAATCATGTGAATGTGGATGGATAGATGTTAACATTTCTTAGCAAAATTTAAAAAAAAATAATTAAATGTTGGCACTTTTGTGAAATGATTAACGTTTGGGACTGAGATTCAGTATATGCCCAAGTGTAAAATTATGTGAATGTTTTAAAATTTGCGATGTTTTAATAACCCGTGAGGAAAAAAAATGTATAAAATAGTTACTGCAACTTTATTTTTGACATGATGTGCCTGTACAACCATGATTTTCTCCCTTTGTACAAAGAGACATTGTAGATAACTTGAATGTTTGATTATAGAGAAGGTCATTAGTTTCTTGTTAAAAATTGTTAGTCCATTTATGTTGCTTTTCAAGGTTAATATTCTTGAAAATAGTTGCTGTTATGTATAACTTTTCTAATAAAAGTTGTGTTAAGCCATTATATAGTGCCAATATCTCTAGTATTTGTCTGACTATATTGTGAGAAGTAATCTCCATATTAGCTAATAATCAGTTAAAAGTGTTCTGAAAAGCTACTTATCAAGGCATATATGCTGGAAGCAACACAATACACTAACCAAACAAATGAAGCTTAGGGGATGGAAAATTCACGCAAAAGTGATCAGAAATGGGGAGCTCACATGTTTCCCGGTGTTCCTAAACTACAGTTCCCAAAATCACATTGATTGGAAATCCTATGTAATGTAGCCCAAAATCTGGAAGTCCATAAATACTCCACTCCAGATTATAATGGAAACAGAACAAAGAATTTGCTATTAATATACAAGGATAATAACTTATAACTTAAATTAAGATTTACTGAACTACAGCCACCATAAGAAATCAGAAATGTGAGGGTATATTAAAAGCACAATGCGTTAATTTGCACACACAGAGAAGGATAGCAGCTTTATTTCAGTCTTTGGGGGTAGGAGCCTATTAGCATGGCCCATTTTGCCTTGGGAAGTTTTGGCCACTCTTGCAAAAGTGCCTCAAATCTGTCAGATTGTAATCTCCCTGTGCACAGTCCTCTTCAGGTCACCCCAAGATTTTCAATTGGATTCAGGTCCAGACTCATTCCAAACCTTCAATCTCCAAAAGAAGCCAGTCTTGTTGATTTGGAGGTGTGCTTTTGATCTTTCTGTTGAAAGCTGAAATTCCTCCTCAGTATTTTAGCAGAAGCCTGAAGGTTTTGTGCCAAAACTGACTGATATTTGGAACTGTTCATAATTGCCCCCACCTTGACTGAAACTCCAGTTCCAGCTAAAGATGGAGCCCGAAAGGATAACGTTGCTACCACGTTTTTCACTTTGGGTGAACTTTTGGTAACATGCAGTGTTGTTTTTGCGTCAAACGTACTTTCTGGAATTATGGCCAAAACTTTTAACCTTGGTTTCATTAGACCATAACATATATTCCCATGTGCTTTTGTCAGACTTGATGTAGGGTTTTGCAAAATGTTTTTTGTAAGAAAAGGTTTCTGTCTAGCTACCTACCCCACAGCCCAGACATATGAAGAATATGAAAGATTGTCACATACAGTACACGAGTACTTGCCAGAAATTCCTGCAGTTCCTTTAATGTTTCTGTAGGACTCTTGGCAGCCTCTAGGACCAGTTTTGTTTTTTTCCCATCAATTTTGGAGGGACATCCACTTCTTAGTAATGTTATTGTGCCATATTTTTTCCACTTGATGACTGTCTTCCCTGTATTCCATGGTATATTCAATGCCTTGGGATTTTTTTTGTACCCTTGTCCTAACTGATATCTTCCAACAATGAGATCCCTTTGATGCTTTGTAAGCTCTTTGTCGACCATGGTTTTTGCTACAAGAGGCAACTGAATGTCAGAAAAATCCTACTAGAACAGCTGAACGCATTTGATAGGAGTCATTCATAAGAGGATGTGAACATTTATACAACCATATCATTATTTTTTCCCCCAGTAAACATTTTCAGTGTGTTTTTCAATTGAATTGTACAGCTGATATGTTTTATTAAAGGTGGAAAAAATTCTGAAGTGATTTATCTTGGCTTGATTTTTTTTACATCTCAAAAACCTGGCATTTTAACAAAGGCATGTAGATTTTCTATATATACTGTATAACCCAGAGCAGGAACCTGGCAGTTTCCAGATGTTTCAAATGTCAAGAATTTGGTATTTGGTCAAATACATTAGACCAAACTTTCCATATTCCCTTGTCATTGGCCATGCTGGCTGGAACTAATGAAAGCTGAATTCCAAAACATCTGGAGAACAGTGGCCTATCATTACTGTAGCCTAATTTAATTAAAGCTGGCCTGATTCTAAATTGTCAGGAATGAATTGTTCAGTTTTTTAATCTTTCTTTTTCTGCAGCTTTTCCAGCTCTTGTAACAGTATTCTACATGGTATTCCTACTGTAGGAATGCTACATTTGTAGATAGGCATTATGATTCTAGTTAGGATCTTTTTCAAACACACATTTGCTAGCCTTAGGCTGACCTCATTAACGTTTAGCACTGAAACATGGAAAATAGGATCACTGAATGTTACATTATAATAAGTTCTGCACCATCCTTCAAAAAACTGCCAGAACACATAAGAGGTATTCTCTACACCAAAGAATCAGTAGAAGTTAAAACAATATTCTATCAGACATATGAAAATCTCTAAATGAAGAAAGCACACTTATAAGCTATTTTAGTCCAGGAAAATTTGAAGGGAGAAATGTGAGTCAGCATAAAAGGGCAACTGTGTAGTACCTTGGATGCTTAAAACAAGCATGTCTTTCCTAGATCCTAAAAGTAACTGCATTTTATTGCATAAGAAGCACGAAAAAATATGGGTGCATTTCCTGATTCTTGATTCACACAAAGTAAATCAACGGTGGATTAATGTAGTTTTTACTGCTCTCATTTGAAGTAACAACCAATTCAAAGCAGCTGCTTCTCCTGAACTGGGGGGGGGGGGAATAGAGAGCTGGCTAGAATGCTTTTTCTTATCTCTGAACTTAAAAAAAAACCACTGTCTTATTTCCATTGCAGTCTTAGTAGCATGTTCCTATCCTGAATTTAACCTGGGTAACGTCTTCGTATAATGATTATTTTGCCATCCTCCTCATATTGCCTTTTGTTTTGAAAAGTAACAAACTTCTTAACCTCATAGCCTCTTTATATAAAGTTTGTTCTGAAGAGTTCTTTTCCCCCATGGCACCAACATGACATACATGGTAAACATTTTTTTTAAAAAACAAAGTATGATTTATTTTTCAAACAGCATTAACTACATATCCAAAGTCCACAAAATAGAAATGCACATTGAATTTTCAGAATAATATTATGCTTTTGTATCTTGGACAGCTGCAGTCGTAGTGTCTGATTTCCTTTTACTACGCTTCCGGTTTCCCTTTTTCTTAGATGTGGAAGACTGTTGGGATTCTTCAGTTTTTCTCTTTTTCTTCAGACAGCTGAGAGGATTTGGTCCAGCAGCCCTTTTCCGCTTCCTTTTTTTGGGTTCTGAAGTTTTCACAAGACCTTTTTTCTCTTTCAGAAATGCAATGGTCTGTTTATGGTGCTCCGGAATAAGCTGGCTTGTATGCATTGCCTGTATTGAAGCCAAAGATTTGGCAGAAGGCTTGTCCAGAACCATTGTATTTTGAATTATAAATAGCAGAGGGATTCCAGGCTTTTTCTTTATTTTTGTGGCCAGGTGCTGGTCCTATTTTTTAAAAAAGTAAAACACAAAACAAAAAAGAGTCTATTACAAAATGCAGGTGAGTGCAGACTACACAATATGCTTCATAGAACAATAAGAAACTCTAATTATATTCCCTCAGCCCATGATTTTGCTAAAATGTAATTAAACTTTTTGAAATATATAATTGACCTAACATTGTACGTGTTACAGCTGTAAAGTAGCTATCACTGTATGTAAATGTAACACAAGTAGGACAGCAAATTATCTTAACAATTAAAAATAAGTAGTTGGGAAGTAATGAATTCATTGTAGCAAGAGGATTTTTTTTTTCTTGAAATCTGAACAAAGTCTAATGACACAGTTATTCAAGGTTATGTAGAAGAACACAAATGAATATTTTTAGTGCAGGTCACAGACAGTGCATTTTGTTCAAAAATGTTCAAGTGAAATAAATTTACCTGCGTAGCTATGAAATAATGGTGTGGATTACCATCCTCAACCATGGACAATAGGCAGGTTGAACCACTCACTGGATTTTTTAAATGAGAGCAGTTGCGAACTTGAAATCTCTGGGCAATTAGTTTTGCACCATACAGCTTTTTCCCCAAGCATTCCAATTCTTTTAGCACACATCTAAAAGGGAAATATAGTGAGAAAAAAAGCACAACACTTTATTTTGTATTTTTAACAAGAAGCCTAATTATATCAAAAGTCTACATCTATAGGGAAATCTGCTCATAAATGGCAGGTGCCAATGTCTTTTTGGAATTAAGGTGGAAGCCAACTAACTCCATATAAACATCCAAATCATGATCACATGATTGCAGGGGATGCCGCAACAACCACAATTGCAGGGCTTGGCCATAAATTTTGTTCATTGTTGTAACGTTGAATGGCTGCTGAACAAGTGATTGCTAGGCAATGATTGCCTATATTTCTTATAGTTTAAAATGGAATGAAATTTCTTAAAATATATATAGAGGAAATTAAATATATTCCCAGGAAATTAAATACATATGTGTATGCACTGAAAGGTACAAATACATCAAAAATGAAAAAAAAATCAAATATAATTTCATTATGTGACCTATTTCATCTGTTTTGTTTTAACTGCTTTCCTTTTATTATTTATACATGTTTTTTATTCTTGGTTGTGAACTACTTAGAGTTTTATTTAAGATGAGTGACATGTAAATATTTAAATAAAGAACATGTATCAAGGACATTTTATTTATTTGAAATTACAAGTTGCTCAAGTCCAATGGACATCAAGTAATTGATATGAAATCAATGTGTTACATAGTATGCAACATAGTAACATAGCATAATACTATCTACTAATCACTGGGTGACTTTGGCCCAGTCACCCTCTTTTAGCCCAAAGTATCTCACAGAATAGTTGTAAGAACAAAGCATTTTGCTCTGGGGAAAATGGGAGCACCATTTGAGCCCCTAAATCAGGGGTGTCAAACCCGCGGGCCAGTTTCATCATACTGAAGCTGGGCCCACCCCATTGCCGGCAATGAAAAATGAGTCACAATACGTCACAACACGTCATGTGATGTAGTGAGTTTGACACCCGTGCCTAAATGGTAGGATATGCTATATATGGGATAAAGAAATTCAAAATTATCACCCACTCCCAGTATGCCTCACAAAGTAGGACGGGACAGTAAAAGATAATTGAGCAGAAACGTCCGTGTGAAGGTGAGGGTGGGTAGATGTCAAAATAGACAAGAAGATGGAAGGAGCATCAAGAGGCAAGTCCCATTGCTTTTGCACAACAACAACAACAATAATAATAATAAAGTTGGAAGGGACCTTGGAGGTCATCGAGTCCAACCCCCTGCTCAGGCAGGAAACCCTACACCATTTCGGACAAATGGCTGTCCAGTCTCTTCTTTAAAACTTCCAGTGTTGGAGCATTCACCACTTCTGGAGGCAGGTTGTTCCACTGGTTAATTGTTCTAACTGTCAGGAGGTTTCTCCTTAGTTCTAGGATGCTTCTCTCTTTGATCAGTTTCCATCCGTTGCTTCTTGTCCTGCCTTCAGGTGCCTTGGAGAATAGTTTGCCTCCCTCTTCTTTGTGGCAGCCCCTGAGATATTGGAACACTGCTATCATGTCCCCCCTCGTCCTTCTCTTCGTTAAACTAGACATACCCAATTCCAGCAACCGTTCCTTATATGTTTTAGCCTCCTCAGGGGATTAGTAGAAACAACGAGAAGAGACATGAGAAAGATCTCAGAGTCGTAGAAAAAATGTAGCACCACTCCAAAACTGGATGCAGTATTCCAAGTGTGGCCTTACCAAGGCATTGTAAAGTGGTATTAATACTTCACGTGATCTTGATTCTATCCCTCTGTTAATGCAGCCCAGCACTGTGTTGGCTTTTTTGGAAGCTGCAGCACACGGCTGGCTCATATTTAAGTGATTGTCCACTAGGACTCCGAGATCCCTCTCACAGTTACTACTATTGAGCAAGGTACCCCCTATACTATACCTGTGCATTTGGTTTTTCTTGCCTAAATGTAGAACCTGCAGCCTGATACTGCTTCCACATTCTTGCTTGTTTTGACACTTGTCCCCAACATAGGCACCTTTGTTATTAACATCTATACTTTCTCTGCCCTTTAACATAGCCAAGACTACCAACATCTGGTAAAAGGAGAACACAAAGGAGAGAAGCAACCTAGAACTAAGGAGAAACTTCCTGACAGTTAGAACAATTAACCAGTGGAACAACCTGCCTCCAGAAGCGGTGAATGCTCCAACACTGGAAGTTTTTAAAAAGGAGATTGAACTATTTGTCTGAAATGATATAGGGCAGTGATGGCAAACCTTTTAGGCACTGAGTGCCCAAACCGCAACCCAAACCCCATTTATTTATTGCAAAGTGCCAGGGCCACATCAGCATTGTGGTTCCCTCAGGGAGGGCGGGGTGTGTGGCCCACTGGGTGAGCGTGGCCAGGGTGGTCACAGCAGACTGGGTGGGTGTGGCCAGGTAGGCGTGGCCACCTCGATGCTCTAATACCTCTACTCGAGCTTGCTAGCCGGCTGTTTTGCATGCTTTGTGCTGGCCGGGGCTGCTGCTCCGGGTGGCGTTGGTGGCCTAATGGACCTGCATGAGCTGCTAGTGGCAGCAGTGTGTGTGCCCACCGAGAGGGCTCTGAGTGCTGCCTCTGGCACGCGTGCCATAGGTTCGCCACCACACTATATCCCAAAGGACGTACTTGTCCCCCCAACCTAATCTTCTGGAGGTTCCAGGGAAGGTTGCGACAATAAGATAAGATACAGGGTACCCATATATTAGATTGGGTCACAAAGAGTTGGAACTGGTAAAATTCCGTACACCTGAAGTTGAGGGTCTTAAGGTGTCGGTCGTTACGACCGACACCTTAAGACCCTCAAGAAGTCCACATGCCTTAAAATGGTCAAGGTTGAGAAACACTGATCTAACCCACCCTCCCAAAAGTGACTGCTGCTGAATCAGCGCATGATCCCCGTCCCCCCCCCACCCCCGCTGCCTCGCAAGGACTTCTGCGAGTTCCCCCCCCTATCGCGCGGAGCTCTTCCATCAGCCAATCCCAGGCTGCTGGAAAAACTCGCGCGGCCCCCGCCGGCCACCCATCCAAAGGAACAAAGCGCGCGTGCGCGTTTCTGCAGCACCGTCTCGCGCTCCTGTCACTTGTTCCTCGCAGCCAATCGAGGTGCGCTTACCACCCCCCCCCCCCGACTAACGCCTCCACTTCCCTCACCGCGTCGTGCAGAGTTGCGTGGCTCCGGCTAGGTAACCCGGCAACTGCTCGCGTATCTGGATCTTGTTGCGCAGCGCAGCCTGGCAGAAGGTGCCGTCCAGCAGCACCTGGAAAGGCTCCCGGAAACCGAAATTGTACTTGTAGAAACCTATGTTCTTCTTGGCATGCTTCTGCCGGGTGATCTTCATAACGGAAGCCGAAGGAGAATAAACATACAAAAGACAACCTCACAAAACATGCACCCGTCTCTTCCTTTAACCGGAAGTTTGGTTGGATCGTTTAACGGAAGGAGAGACCACATCGACGCATGCGCAATGCTCCTGCCTGAAACACGTGGGGAAATAGTTCTGACAAGAACTAAGGAGCAGGCTGCAAAAATTCGGAGAGCAGCTACTGGGCGCAGAAAGTTTTACCTTGCTCATTAAAAAAAAAACCCACAATGCATTCTATATTTCATAAAATAAAGTTGAAAAAGTAACTTTCTGTTGGTAATAAAAGCAGAGTAATTATTATGTTGGTATTTTTAGTGGATGGCTTTATTCATTCTGTTGTACGTTATTGTCCAGGCAATTGGGAGCAGATACATTATCTAAAACTGGGCTCTTAATTTGACTCTGACATTGCAAGGCTAACAACGATATCCCTTAGATTCGTTTCTGAAGTGTAGCGGCCTCCCCTCTTGCAGCAAAAGCAAATCTTGTGCCCTTCCAAAAGGAATAAAATAATTATAACCATGCTAGAACAGAATTCGGGGACTTGCAATCTCAATATACGGAGAAGGACCAAGTGGGGGGATTCAAAGGGCTGTCCCTTGAAGCTTTTTCTTAGTTCATAATCACTTTTAAAAGGCTGATGGGCCCAGAGGACTGCTGGTTAAGTGAACTAACAGAATCGTGTAAACGAAACGTTGTACTCCAAATCGATTGATTTGAATGCCATTAAGTGATTTTCCACTCTTAGCGAGATTTTCTCGCATCCCGTATTAATAATATTACGCAGTTGTGAGCCGTTGCTATTGCATCTTTCCTGAGAAATCAGCCCCCCTCGGCTGGTACGATCCCTCCTATCCCAAAGATGCTTTTTCAGGAGGCAACTGGACTTTCTTGTTTTTCTTTGAAGATGTTTCGCTCCTGAAAAGCACCATTGGGACAACCATGACCTGCATGACTGAGAATCTCCATAGATCCTTCCTATCTTCTAATTTCGAGTGCCGGCTTACTGACGCTTGGGGTTCTTCAAGCGGAACCTTATTTTCCGGGATAGTGTTTCCAGTCCGTTACCCGGAAGATCTTGTCTGGCGCACGCTCCCTTCTTCTTTACTTCCCGACAGTGTGCTCGCTGCCTCTTTTCGCCATGGCGTCTCGTAAGGAGGGAACCGGAGCCACAGCTTCCGCAGTCGTTAACGCGAAAGCCAAAGCCAAATCGGGCCCCGGGGACTCGACGGTGAAGCAAGTGCAGATCGACGGGCTGGTAAGCGAAATGGGAAACCCTGGCAGGAGTGGGATGGGATGGGCATCCTGCTTTGATAGCCCCATTATCTCGAATGAAAAGGCAGCAGCCCTTCTTGACACGAGGCGCCTTGAGAGAGATGGTGTTACAATCCGGCCCTTGGCTAAACTGCAGGATTCACCCGCCCCACCAAGCCTAAATGAGGTGGGCTTGTTTTACGTTGTAGCATGCTGTGTGAAGATCTGTGGGTTATTAAACTTGGTCTACAACAGTGTTTCTCAGCCCTTGGGGACTTCAAAGTGGGTGGACTTCCAACTCCCAGAATTCCCCAGCCAGTGACAAGTGTTGAGAAACACTGGCTTAGAGTGTTGTGTGAACTCAGTTATAGTTTACTCATCAAACTGATAAAACATATCTTGTCAGGTTTATAGAATTATAGACTCATAAGTTTGGAAGAGGCCTTGGAGGTCTTCTAGTCCAGTGGTGGCGAACCTATGGCACGGGTGCCAGAGGTTGCACTCAGAGCCCTCTCTATGGGCATGTGCACCGTCGCCCCAGTCCTAGGCCTTCAGCTGGGTTTTATAAAACCTTTTCGCTTTAGGCCTCTGCCGCTGTGGGCAAAAAAAAAAGGTTCAATCAATCAGTCAATTTCAACTTCTCGCAGGAAAAAAAAAGATCTCGCAAAGTTGGAATTGATTGATTGAACTTTTTAGTCCCACCCAATATGCTGTTACCACCGCAGCCACGCTCACCCAATGGGCCATGCCCACCCGGCACCCGATGATGTATAAGTGGGTTTTGGGTTGCAGTTTGGGCACTCAGTCTCTAAAAGGTTCGCCATCACTGTTCTAGTCTAACCCCCTGCCCAAGACAGGAGTCCTCATACATCTCTGGAAATAGCAATAGCACTTAGACTTATATAGTGCTTCATAGTGCTCTCTGAGTGGTTTAGAGAGTCAGCTTATGGTGCCCAACAATCTGGGTCCTCATTTTACTGATCTTGAACTGGTGAGACTCAAACTGCTGGCAGTCGCAGTCAGCAGAATTAGCCTGCAATATTGCATTCTAACCATTGTGCCACTATGGCTCAAATGGTTGTCCAATATTTTCTTAAAAACCTCCAGTGATGGAGCATCCATCAACACCTGGAGGCAAACTTAAAAAGCTGTTCCGTTGCTTAATGGTTTTCATTGTCAGGAAGTTCCTCCTCATTTCCAGTTTGGATCTCCTCTGACAAGTTTTCACCCTTTGCTTCTTGTTCTAACTTCAGGCGATGTGGAGAATAAATGATTGCCCCTTTCCCTCTGGCAGTCCTTGGAAAGTCTTCTCTTCATTAAGCTAAACATACCCAGTGCTTGACTGTTCTTCATATAATTTAGCTTCCAGGCCCTTTATCATCTTTATAGGTCTTCTGTGCACTAGTTTTTAGGACCTCAGCATCCTTTTTGTATTGTGGTGACCAAAACCCATCAGTGTAGCTCATTAATGTGAAACTTGGTTCTATAAAATAAATAAGTATTAACCAACATGTCTTTATCAGGGCTTGCCTGTTGGTTGGAGGAGACATCTGGGAAAAGATACAGCAAGTTTTAAGAAATTGCAAAAGACTCCAAAGCATCTTTTTGCTTTTGAATCTGAAAAACAAGCATTGGAACTCTGTTGAACTAAACAAATTTTATATTTAGCATTTTGCTTTAATACATATTTCAGGATTTTGTACATAACTTGGTATCTTTAAAATGTTTAATTTTCTTTCTTAAAAACAGAGGTGTAATTCTGTTGAATTTCCAGATATTATCAAGGCAGAGCATTTATTTTCCCCCTAAGTAGTTGCTCTTAACTCTCTTACCTTTAACAAAGAATATATTGTGGGGAAAATATATCTTTCAGACTGATTGTAACAATTAATTTTGATTTATATCCTGCACTTCCACTAGGAAGTCAAGATAGTGTATGCAGTATGCAACTTCAGTGTTATTGTCAAAATAACAATCCTATGTGGTAGGTTGAGTTATTTGCTTGTTCATTTAAGAGGTTTTCACTAGATCACAATTGTGATTGGCCAGATATAACCCAGTGAGTTTCCATGCCTGATATTGGATTGGAACTTAGGCCTTTCCATCTAACTCAGTGGTTCTCAACCTTTTTAATGCCGCGACCCCAACTGGTCGTAAGTTGAGGACTAAACCGGTCATAAGTCGAGGACTAAACCAGCCGTAAGTCAAGGACTACCCAACCGGTCGTAAGTCAAGGACTTTCCCTGCCCGGGAGCGCCGCACATGCGTGGTTCCGCCCCCTGCACCAGCCGAGGCGTAGCTGGCAAGTGGCAGAGAACGGAGCAGGCGGACCACCAGCTGGCCCAGCCCAAGGGAGGTAAGGCACCCGCCGGAAAAGGGGAAAAAAATGGCGGACAAAAAAAATGGCGGACAGCCTTGCTTGGCGACCCTCATGAAATGGTCGATTGACCCCAAATGGGGTCCCGACCCACAGGTTGAGAACCACTGATCTAACTAGACTTTAAACACAGTTCTGCATATAGGATTATGCTGTTAAATACATTAATTGGTGTCTAAATAATTCAATATTTCTAAGAGCCACTTGGAGATTCTATAGGTGAAAGATGGTATGAATAATAATGTTTTAAATACATTATACAACAAAGGTAGACCATTCTGCTAGGATGGTACAAGTTTTGGGTAACTATTGTAGGAGAGTTTAGTTAAACCATAGCTTTTATAAGATTGTATGCTTCTATCAGGTTGCTGTTTTCACTAAGCTGTTCATTTGTGTACTATTGATAATAAAACGTATGGTGGTAAGAGGGATTTTAAGATTGGAGTAGACTAAAGTAAACATTTGAAAGGAAGCAAAGACTGTTGGTGAAATGATAATGACGCAAAATAAGTGAGGTCATGGATGGCCAGAATTTTCCATTGTTTCTGTGTTGAGGAGATGGGTTTTCCTACATTAAACTTTTTCCAAGACTTACACTGCACTTCCATGTTTGCCTTTCTTAAAATGGTAGGAAACCATTGCATTGATTTTCAGTAGTGGTGCTCCTGCAACTTAGCAGCATCACACAAAGATCACTGGATAACAAAGAAGAGATTCAGGAACCATGTCTATCTGTAGAGTTGCCCACCACTCTATATGTAAACATAGAAGAAGAATCTAAACCATACAGGTAGTCCTTGACTTCCAACTGTTGTTGTTGAACCAACCCATTGTTCGCTGTGGGGTATTTTTTGCTGGAAACTGGAAATAAATGCCTGCTTCCAGCAACAACGTTGTGAATTGCAGTCACATGACTGCAGGATACTGCAAATAGTTGTAAATGTGTGAGGGTGCCCAAAATGCGGTCATGTGACTACAGAATGGGGCCCAGTTATCAGAATGTTGAATATGTGTTATAACTTACTTTTTCAGGGTCCATCATAACTTTGAATGATTGCTAAACAAGTCATAAGTCCTGGACTCCCTGTACTGATTAGATTGATGAAGTAATGCTCCCTTGTCAGTGATGAGCAGTTTTTAGTGGCCAGGGCAAGACAAAATCTTTCAGGGTAAGATCTCTGGATGTTTTCTACATTGTCTTTTCCCTAGTCATTCCAGCACTTTCTAGATTCATCAAGCTATCATTGTGCTAAAAAAACAAATATTGAGAACAGATTTGAAATCACACCAGGAATGGCTGGATTGTGCTATGAAGATGCTGTGGTCATTAATGTTCAAACAGCCATACTTGGCATGTGCATTACTGTAATATTGAAGTCAGTTAAGCAGGATATAAAGACCCATATCTTCTTGGATTATTGTATGGGGTATGATTATAGA